GTATGGAGACAGGCTTTAACATTTCCTCAGCTCACCAGGACAGCTTTTAACAGGTAGGAAAGGAGGTGGCTCCAGCTACCCTCTTGGTGTCTGTTCTGCGGAGGATAATGTCACACTGAAACTCAGCCAATTCGATAAGGCTGGAGGATTCTGTCAAGTCTTTGCTCCCCTTATGGAAATACTGGGCTCCGAGAAGTTTGAAGGACCTTCCACCCAGCAACGCTCCAGCCCTGGAAATATTTGAGTTTTTGCAAAAGAGGTTTAACCCTTCCTGTGCTTTGACTTCTGCTTTTGTTCCTGCTGCCTCTATTGCCCGAGAAGGGTGATTAGGAAACAGATTGGTTTCATCTCCTTTTGTGCTATGATTTAAAGAGGGTAGATGGTTCTAATCTATGATTAAAAGAAGGGTAGATGTGGTGCTCGAGGACATGGTTTAGTGGTGGACTTGGCAGTGATAGGTTAACGGTTGGACTCGATGATCTTAAGGGTCTTTTCCAACATTAATGATTCTATGATTTACCGTCCATGCCATGAATTCAGAGGCTTTACGTGGTGGAAGGAAGAACATCCATCATCTGGCCTTAAATAGGTGTAGAGGCATTTACAACTTGCTACAGGGATTCCTTGGGGAGGACATGGGGCTGCTGGGCGTGCAGCCGTGGCACGAAGGGAAGCGTTGCCTGTCGGAGGCAGGACTCAGCTGTTCCTGTCCCCTGCCCTGAGGGGAGGAGAAAGCCCACAGCCCACTCCTAACCCCAGTCTAGTCCCAGTGCCAACCCAGTGAGGATTGCCTTCCCACCGGGTTCTTAACGACGGCTAAAAGAGGAACCGAGTAGCTTGGTGGGACGCTGCCAGCAGGGCTTTCACCGAGATGGAAGTGTCTTGGTGAAGACTTCAAAGACCAACGCCTGCCGTGCAGCTGGTGAGGGGAGCTCTTAATCCCATTAAGCTTTAAGATCAGAGCGTCAGCAGCTCCATTTTGTGAAAGGTTGGATGTTGTTAGTCTTTCAAAGTACATCTGTTGGATAAAAGCCCTTCTGGTTTAGGTAGATGTCCCTAATGAGCACGTGGAACCTGATGAGGTGTAGGAAAGAGCTAAATGCTGAGCTGGTCTCACCAGGGCAGCTCTGAGTAGACACAGAAAAGCGACCTCAGGAGTCAGAGCAATTCCCAAGAAGAAGAGAGAAGTATCCTGGGAAGCCTGTGTGCTCCAGGGTCAGCGTCAACTTGAGAAAGGAGTTCAGGACTTCAATTTTAGGTGCTTGAATTTCACTTCAACACCTTTATTAGCCCTGTCCTTCAACCCGGACAAGGGAACGAGCACCTTGTTCCCTGCTGCGGTAGGCAGCCGCTGGCAGCAGTAGCCGTTCTGTGGTTTAGTTACGTGTGTTGATGTCGATCTGGTGCTGTGCAGCATGCACATTCATTCTTCAGGCTAGTTTTGGCATGTCGCGTACAGCTTTTTGCTGTTTTATTGCAGAATCTGGTTGACACAACGGTGGGATGTGGGTAGAAATGTTGGCGGTGCTGCTTGGGGAGGTTCTGTAACGGTGGGAGGCAGAGAACTTGTTAAAGCAGGTTCTGGGTGCTTTGGAAACTTGGCCTTTGTTTCTGACAGGCCACCTGGGGTTTGCGTGCCTCGGCTGAGGGAGATTGAGTCAATGCTATAGCGATTTCCTTCTGGTTTTCTTTTTGATCTACGAGAGGTTTGGGAGCTGTGAGCAAGAGCAGCGTGGGGTTTGCAGCCCATCATGAGTCCGTACTCTCTGGTTGGGGCTGAGGCTTCCAGCACCTGACGGCTGGTTTGTGAGCACGGGTGGGTGGCTGTGGCTTGGGTTCCTGTGCTATCAGTTCACTGAAGGTGTAAAGCCCCTTGGCGGGATGCCCCGAGAAGCTGACAGGGCCCACAAACCAGAGGCTTAGATTTTATAATGGTGCAGGATTTGGTACCCATAACTTAGAGCCAGAGGTGAACTGTGTCTACAGCAAGGGGGCCACTGCAAAACAGGACTGGAATTGCTGTTTGCAGCATGGTGAGATGATGAACATTTGGCAGGAATCCCTGGAAAGCTGAAGAGCTCCACCATGAATAGTTGTTGGCATGGCAGCCCCGAGTCAGCCCGGCTACGGACAGTGAGGTTGTTCTCCCAGGAAGGGAAAGGACACACGTTTGATGAGTTAAGGGGTGGTGGGAGCTTTCTTGCCCATGGTTTGCCTAGCACAGGTCAGTCTCATCCCTAAACCGAAGGTCCGCATTAGTGCTTAAATCACGGCGAAGGGCAGTGACAGGAGAAACTTCTTGGAAGTTGCGACTTCGGTCTGGGCTGTCCTGCCTCGCTGCATGCGGGGCAGCAGCAAGCACAAGATGAAAACGCTCGGTGTTTTGCAATCACGGTGCGCTGGAGCTTTGTGACTTGGTTACGAAGGCATGAGCTGGGTGCAGCTTGATCGTAGTTGGCCGCTGATGTTATCTTACCCCGGCAGTAAAGCGGTGTTCCTTGCCTGCCTCTGTAGGAAAAATTGACTCTGCTACCTGCATAAATAGCGGGGGGGGTTTGTAGCAGCCTGGACTTAGCGGGTGTTGGGTGTTTGTTGCTGTTTCTGAACTTTATTTCAGCTAATTATGGTGGCCTCTCTGCCTCAAAGAGAGGCCGAATGGGACACAGCAAGCGGTTCTTGGAGGCTGGCCACCGTTCAGAGCCGCTCTCTGGGTCTGCAGGGACACGGACAGTCCCTTTGGGCTGAGCGACGTGCCAAGGGCAGCTCACACCGCGCCTGCTTTCCTCGGGCTCCTGACCCTGCACGTGTAAAATCAGCCTACGGGTCCTTTCCTTTGCCGTGCCTGAAGAGCCAGACTGGTAAATTTTACCTCTTCTCTTGAAGTTGGTGATGTCAGGAAAATCCCGTGTCTGGCACTGCCCCAAAAGCATGAATTCCAGCGGCGGGGTGCTCCTGACCCTGCACGTGTAAAATCAGCCTACGGGTCCTTTCCTTTGCCGTGCCTGAAGAGCCAGACTGGTAAATTTTACCTCTTCTCTTGAAGTTGGTGATGTCAGGAAAATCCCGTGTCTGGCACTGCCCCAAAAGCATGAATTCCAGGGGGGGTGTCGGGGGGCCCCCGCCACACCGCACGTTCCCTGCCAGCAGCTCCAGGAGGGGGGAGAGGAAAACCCTTATCGAGTCAGTTATAAGGGGATAAACCTTATTGATTCAGTTCCCACTGTCTCTGTTCGCACAAATGATGGGGACTTGACCTGATGAGGCAAATAGCCCGAGCCTGCTGAATGATGTCCGAAGGCTTCTCTGCACTTCCATGTGGTTAAACTGTTGGGACGAAATATTTTAGAAGAACGCTGCAGGCTTTTCTCCTTTCTCGCCCACCCTGACCCTGCTGGGGGTGGATGTGGGTCCTAATCGCACACAAATTCACCTCGGTGTAAAAATAGGGCTGTTTTCTGCCCTCGGTATTTAGAGTTTGATGTAATATACCTATGATGCCTAATAACTTGAACGATGGGGAACTGTTTTCTTCCTCTGTGGCTGTCAGTGGGCTCATCCTGCTTTAGAGCAGGGCTTTGCAGTGAGAGGAGGAGGAGGAGGGGGAAGATGAAGCTGGTTTTGTTTATCTCGGCAACTCTTACCACATACTCCTGCACTCAAGTTCCTAGCAACCCGCTGAGCGGCACGGCTTCTTCGTACAGCTGTACTCCGACATGCTGCTTGCAGTTCATTTGGGTGACTAGTGATCTTGCAGATCATAATTTAAAAAAAAATGTTTAAAAGCAAGCGGAGTTTGGTCTCGGTTTGCTCACCAGCGAGGCGCTGTCTGAATGCAGAAACACTGAAACCATCCGTGGAACGTAGCTCGCCGTGACAGCAACGCAGACGGAGCGAGAGCTGTTTTCTGAATAATGACTTCATATCGTCACTCATCGTTTGGTGTCAGTGCTGGTGACATGCATTTCTGCGAGGTGAAAAAAGGGGCAGCGGATCAGCTGGGCAGCAGGAGCACCCTTCACGCAGATGTGTTGGTGCAACGCGTGAGGGCGTAGGTCTGCGAAACTGGACTTCAGCCGCCTCTCGGTGCTTCCTAATGGAGACAAGGCTGGCGGTTATGGCAAGGGCAGAGGTGCCAATGTCTTCCACTGTGTTCTGGAAGGATTATTTTAATCATTTAGCTCAGGTGTCTGCGTAAAACATTAACGGGGCACCTGCTGCTGCCTGCGGGTGTACCGGGGGCAGCGGAGCCGCTGGGAGGGTTCATGATGACAGTGCTGGTGGTGTCTGCTGAGGACAGGCTATAAATAAGGCGGCGGGAAGAGCTGCAGTGGCAGATAACGGCGGAGTGCGGAACGCGGTTCTGCCAGCCTCAGCCCCGCGGTGAGGAGCAGAGCTCAGCTCGCTCAGAACAACACTACCATAGTAGGAAGCAGGCAGGAGCCGGTCGGCCCTATGTACTAATGCATCCCCCGCCATCTTACAGTTCTGCTGAACAATGGCATTCAACCCTCGTATTTTTAAACCTCAGGCTGCTGCGTTTGAAGGGTCTCAGACCTCATTGTCACCTCATTTGGATAACACTGTTTGCTAGCAGCGTGCTGGTTATCGCGGGCTGGAGGTTAAGCAGCTTTACGTTTCATTTCACACGCAGTACTGAAGTTGGCTGAAGTTGCATATTTAGAGAGGCTCCCCCTCCTCTCCCTCCAAGCAAAATTTAGTTTATGGACTCCAGAGCATTACAGGACAGTTGGAGAATCCAGCTTTTACCCTTGGAGCGCCTTAGTCTGGCCTAATGCTTGACACAGCCTCCTCGTGGCAGAACAGCCCGTGTTTTGGGGAATGGGACAAGCCGTGACCGAGAGAAGTGCTCCCAGCAGGCTGCTCCTTTGTAGCCAACGCCTTTGGCCGATCGTCCTTTTGCCTACGGAAGGGGGAAGAGACTAGCAGCTACTTCAGGCCGGGGCAATTTAGAAAACAGAAAAGGACAAAAAATAAAGATGTAGTTGGGAAAGAAATGTTTATTTTAAGTTTCTCAGAGGGATTTTACAAACAATGGAGCATTTTAAAAAAATTGAGTGATCAAAGTAGTTGACAGTGTCCCTTAAACACACACACAAGCCCCTGGACAGAGGAAATCACACCAGCGAGGAGGTCAATACTGCTGGAAGAGCAGCTGGCATCTGCATAGTTCTAGGAGGAAAGATTGCAATGGTGTTGGTGCTAGTAAGTGTCATCCTGGCATGAATGTAAGAGGGCGCTGAAGTATGTACGCATGTACCTGCAGAAAACAAAGTGCATAAAATAACACGCAAAGTACGTATTGTAGAATAAATTTATTTACCTGATACAAATGAAACTAGGTGTGATGCTTCTTACTGTCAGCATGTAAATAGGCGACTGATCTTATTTACAACTCCTAGAGGTCATACATGCAGCTGTGGTAACTGGCTAAGTCGGCTGTTGCTTTTTCAATAAATGCATCACAATATTTTGTATTGCACCAACATCTGTCTTACTGCCATAGATTTAAATAAGTTAGGTTACAGTGCAAAATAGGTTGATTTGCACACGATAAAAAATCCAAAGTTATGAACTGGAGGCTTACGGTTTAACATTCATCTGTAATCTTTTCAATGAATTTTATAAATAGGATAGCATTGTACATAAGCTGTTATAGAGTAGTATGTTTGGATGATACAATACAGAGAAAGATTTGTCTACAACCGAAGGCATGCATTATTTTGATATTGTACATGGTATAAACTGACATTTTACATACAGAAATGTGGAAAATCGGCTGACAGCTCCACGCTTCTTGTTCAAGGATAAACAAACTCTTCTCCATGCAGCACAGAACCCAAACTTCTCTGGAGAGAGTTTCCAACTCGGTAAGCTATATTGCACGTTTGTACATCTGTATAATGAAGTCCTAATGGTACCACACATTTCTTCCACAGAGAACACAATGAGTTTTGTTTTAGGGAAAGCAAAGAATCTTTACACATGATACATGCAGAAGTTTTGGTAGATGTGTTGCTAAAAACACATGCACGCAACAAAACAACCTTACATTTCTGCAAAATTGTTTAGGAAGCGATTACTCCAGTATTGCTGAAAAGGAAAGAAAGAAAAGGCATCAGTTAATGAAAGGATGAATGCTAAGTACCATCATACAAGCAAGACTAAGATCAACAGTGACAGAAGAAAGAACGTTAAGTTTGGTAACTGGCTGCTCTGTCATGGAAGGGACACTCTCAGGTTACTTTGTCCTTAAAGCCTAGAACCCGCTGGACTGCGGCTCGGCTCCTCCAAGGCGGCAGAGCTCCCTTAGCAGCAAAGCCAGCGCCTCCTACGGAAGACTGCAGCGACGAAGAATTAAGACACCTTTAGACAGCTTTTGCCTTTCTCGCCATGACTAGTGGCGATAGACAGGTCTCACTTATTTGTAATTTTTACTTTCAAGTTCCATACTAAACAGTTTGAGCTCAAGTTTTTCAGAGCTTTAAGGGTGTTTTTCTAATCAAGGCATTATATCGCAAGGTTGGCCCCGAAGTGACCTAACAATGTCCCTTTTCCAAGTTACGCAGCTTATTCTGGGAAGCAGTAGGAAAGCTTTGAAGAAGTCATTAAACTACACAGATTAACGCGTAGGCAAAGGGTAGAGTACAACGTAATAAAGCTACTACTGTACTTTACCCCTAAAATAGAGCGTAAGGTTAGCCTTGCGTCTAGGAGAGAAGAACAGTGTACTCTGATTCCCTAGAACTTGATGGCGGCTCTTCAAAACACTGCTTCAACACTATAAAATTTAGGCTCTCCTGCTGAGATTTGAAAATGCATATTAATGTAATTAAGGATGTAATTAGCAGAGATTAGGGAAACAGTTAATGGTTAGAAGTGCAAAAAAGTAAACAAGACAGGTGCAAGAGACAGACAACTTTGTATCAGTTTTACCTCCCTTCATCTCAGCAAATTCAACCCTCTTTAAGCTGTTTACCATGTATATTCTGTGCATCAGCTGTGTTCTTGGAACAGTGACAGAGGACTGCTGTACTGCATTTTATCATCAGATTAAAAACTCATTTTCTTACCATTAGCCTTCTCCAAAAGAGCCTCCCTACAAACATAAGCCTCGTAGCATTTTGACAGACTGGTATATATTTTTCTGCAGCCTCTTTCATACTTATTTGTTTGCAATAATACTTCAGGAAACCAAATATGAACTATTTTTATTGCTTGGATGCCAGCAAAAAGGAGCAGCTCGTTGTGTAGCTCACGAACGGTACTTTGCATCACTCACATTTGAAAGCAGAGGGCCTGAGGCACTATGAAGATAAAAGCCCCCGTCTCAATATTCGACCTATGCCTGCAGCTGCCTCACCAGTTTCTTTGCTCTGCTTTGGGCCAGGCTAGAGAACACCCAATTCAGGAGGAGCTGCTCTCATACCAAACCCCACTCGTTTCCCAGCACAAGCCGATACCCTTCCTGGTGCTCCTGGCGTAAGGTGGCATCAATCACCTGATCGATACTGGTCTTACACACCTCTCTCGCACTAGAAAATAAGTAGCAATATGTGAGGACACTAAGGAATCCAGAAAACAGCAGAGATGAAAAAGCTCAGTGAGATGAGCGCAAAAGGAAACAAAAAAATATGAAGTTATTTTCTAAAAATGGGGTGGGAGATAAAGCCTGGGTAACTTTGAGTTATTTCTGCTTAAAGAAGTGCTTCCTTTTATATATTCACAGGGCTAACCCATCAAAACAGGAGTTACCTACATCTATCCCCAGATGACCCTAGTCCAGTGAGGAGCCGGGAGAGGAAATATGTAGGGAACAAAGAAATTAAGCAAGAGTTGCATCTTTGAGATGCTGGCAAGTCTGTTCTAAATCGCAAAGTCCTCCCTTCTTGGCTTCTCTAGATGAAAGGACTGACAGCTAAAGAACGACAGGACCTACACAATGAAGGATAAGCATTTTAGTTAACGCATTTTCTTGCGGTGCATTAATAACCTTGCGCTGTGTTTCTATAGTTTCTAGAATTGAAAAGCCAAGCCATCAGCTGCCTTAGGCTGTTTAATGCCAGAAGCACACCCAAGCAACCTCCCACAGCCTACTCAACTGGGAAGGGCTAAGACCAGGCCCACAGCACTCCAGCTCCAAGATCACAAGGAAGCTGGCAGCAGACAGCGATTTCGGGGCAGGGTGCTCCACTGCCTGGAAGGAAGCTCACGGTAGGTCTTAACATTGGGCCAGTCCAGGCCACACAAGGTATCATTCACCAGGTAGCGGCAATGCTTGGAAAACAGAAGTACTGGAAGCATAGCAACAGCTGCCGTTGAACCCGCAATAAGTAAGTGCTGATCTTAGGGAACCCTATGAAAATTTGGACAGCAAGACTGGGAGAAATAAAAGAAAAACACGGTAGATAAAGAGCCCAAGCTATCTTAAGGAGCACCCTATAAAACCTGACTGTTCCCATAACCTCGGGAGCCTGTAGGGATGAATGCCACTCCGTTTACCCACCAGTCATCCAGCTTTCAAAGGCAAACTCCCAAGGAACATGAGGCCCTAATCCAAGTGCCCCCAAGACATGCAATTGAGTGAGCTCTCAGCTGTCAGTATGGAAATCCATGACACAAGCAGTAAGATTCATCTTCAACACAGACGGAGATCCAACAAAGAAGTCGTTGAAGACTGAATTCTACTTATCAACAGTCATTTTCCCCTTCAGCTTCTTAGAGACAGGGAAAAAGGGGGTGTACAGCAGGATTATTTGGCATAAGACAGGAACAGGATTGTACAAGAAGCAGAATCGTTCATGCTGACGGTCCGATATGTGGCTTTAAAAAGCCCACCACCATGGTGCTCTGGAGGTTCACACAGAACCAGTGTTCAAAGATTCAGTGGCGTTCCTGCCCTGGAAAGCGTCTGTCAATAACATTGGGAGCACACAGAACTAACTTGCTACTATTTGTTGCCAACAAATAACATACTTGTACGTATTTTGATCTCAAGGAATCCTAGATCACATGACCTATTATTTTTCTCTTTCAAGAAAGAGGGACAAGTCTTATATTGCTCATTTATTATTGATACGGCAAATGGCCAGTGCTGGCCATTGGTTTTGTGGCATGCAAAACCTTTGTTTGGCAAAGACAGCTTCTTCCACACTAAAGAGGGCATTCAAGGGGATTTAAATGCTTACAGTTCAGCAACACACCTACTACATCAGCAGGTCCAGCTCCTCTGAGTCACTTCAGCATCAACTTAAACAAGTCAAAGTCTGTATAAACAGTGAGTATTCACAATGCAGCAGTTTCAGATAGTGTCTGTGTATTTTTGCGGTTAGCATCAATATTTGAAAGCTTGAAACCTGGAGAATTATCTGTGCTCGCTGGATTCCAGCTGGCACCAACAGAACGTAGCTTTTAACTATCATTTTCCTCTATGAGGAATCAGAAAGCTGTTTGAATTTGGTTACTACAGCAGACTGAGCCAGCAGAAGATAACACTACGTCTACAAAGACATAGTGACCCCAGTACACTTTTCAAAGACTACCCTGTTAAGCTGAGCCTTGTTCTTTTTGTCTTTTCATATGACCACTGTACAAAGTGTTTCCGCTTACTGGAAGCAATAAGCTGTTTTTGGAAAGAGGAGCACTGCAGATAGCAGAGACTCAGGAAGGGTGGTCAGCTCAGAGGGGCATCCCCTATTTCAGAGCAGGAAAAAGCTTTGGAGTAAACCAGCACCTGACCACAAGTACCAGAGTGTTTTGGACACTAAACGTTCATGTGAACAGCTGTCACTGTCTTAAGTTACAGATTTGTCCAATTTTATCTCAAACTTAAGACCACAAGCTGTAAGATCTCGGGGCACTAAGGCTCCTGGGTGCTATAAAACAAGACCTAAAATACACTAAACCAAAAGCAAGTGCTTTGCCTTTGGAATTGGTAATTTGAGCTTCAGACCACAAAACAAAGAGTCTAAAGTGGTGATAATAATGTAGCACAGCAGAGTTTGACAAAACACAGCATGGGAATGAAGGTAATTACTATTTATTCTTCAACATGTATACAGCATATGCTATTTTACAGCAAGTCACCACTGGCATGGTGAAATGGAAGAGAAATACTCACTTTAGTCGATGAAAGTTGGAAGGCATTGGAGAAAAACACCACAGTTAGGACTGTTAATGACTTACACATTGTTGATACAGGACTGAATCTGAAAACATGCTTTAACATTTACCGTAGTAATGAAGGTGGTTAGTGCCACATTAAAATAAAAATAGTTCTATACAATATGTTCAATTTGGTCATGTGCTATTTACAGATTTTACATAAAACACACACGAGCTTGTTACTTCAAGTCAGGCTAACAACAGGCCAGCAGAGTAACTCCATGTATACAACTGGTCATTAGTGCCCTAGGTGTAGGAAATCCAATTTCTAGCTATGCAGTGCAAGTTATTTTTCCAGGTCTCATTACAAGTTTTGATCTTAAGGGGGGGTGGGTGG